GGACTGTGCTGTGTAACAGAGCTGTGTAGATATCAGACCTAGACAGAAGTGCAAAATATGTATTTTATCTGTGTGCTCAGCGGTTTGCCTGGCATTTGGCTTTAAATATCTAAAGCTCCACTTTTCTTCTTTATCCACAAGTTATAGTAAAGCCTTGTTTACGTAAACCAACCTGGAATTTATTTCTACCATTTGTTTACTAATAATAAATCCTCTCCGTGGTGCACATTCTGCACTCTTTCACCCAATCATGGCAAACGTCATCTAAACAAACTAAAAGTGTGCAGCCGCTGTCACTGTACAGGGAGGCGATTAGCGCAGAAGTGCCTGATGGGAAAATAATAAACAGGTCAGGGCCAGTTACCGCCCAGCATGAGTCTGAATCCCGGGAGACAGCGCTGGGTAAATGTTTGCAACGGGGACTGTTTTGAGGCTTTACATCGATTCTCAGAGAGGTGATAAAAGCCGGACAGACAACCAGGGACATCCACAGTGAGTGAGAAGATTAATTACAGCAAAGACGCCCAGGAAAAAAAAAGGCGCAAAGTTCCGAAGGCGAACGCTTTCCCTTGCGGCTTTATTTTATTGTCTTCAGTTTGTCAAGTTTGCTTTTCCACAATGCCTCAATCCCTGAATTCAATGTACCATCCCTTTAATATCTATTGGCCAAGCTGGCCAAGGCTACAGTACCTTTCCTGTGATCCCTTTCTTCATCACCAAACTTTTGGAAGTGTACCCTGACCCATCATGTATCTACTTGTTGAATGAATTAGAAGCACTGTGTATTATAAATAACTGTCATGTTTTATATAAAATACTTATCTTCACCTTTCCTCATCCCTTGTTCCAGAAAGGAAGGAAGAAAAGGGAAAGGAGCGCCACAGAAAAGAGGGAATGAAGGGAAGAAAGAAGGAAGGAAAGAAGGAAGGAAGGAAGGAAGGAAGAGGAGAGAATGAAGGAAAGATAAGAAGGAAGGTATGAAAGAAAGAAAAAAGGATGTGGGAGGTAAGAACAAAGAAAGGAATGAAGGAAGGAAGAAAAAAAAAAAGGAGTAAGACAAGATGAGAATAAAGGAAGGATGGAAAGAAGGAAGGAAAAAAGACAGGAAGAAATGAAGGAGGGAGGGAAGAAAAACAGTAAGAACAAGGGAAGGTGCAGAGGAAGGATAGAAGGAAGGAAGAAACAATGGATGGAAAGGAAGGAGGTAAGAAGGAAGAAGTCAATGATAGAAGAAAGGAAAGGAGAGGAAAGGAAAGGAAAGGAAAGGAAAGGAGAGGAAAGGAAAGGAAAGGAAAGGAGAGGAGAAAGGAAGAAGGAAAGGAGAAAGGAAGAAGGAAAGGGGAAAGGAAATAAAAAAGGAAAGGAAAGCAAAGGGAAATGAAAGGAAGAAGGAAAGCAAAGGAAAGGAAAGGAAAGGAAAAAGGAAAGGAAAGGAAAAAGGAAAGGAAAAAGGAAAGGAAAAAGGAAAGGAAAGGAAGAAGGAAAGGAAAGGAAAAGGAATGGAAAGGAAAGGAAAGGAGAGGATAAGAGAGGAGAGGAGAGGAGAGGAGAGGAAAGGAAAGGAAAGGAGAAAGGAAGAAGGAAAGGAGAAAGGAAAGGAAAGGAAAGGAAGAAGGAAAGGAAAGGAGGAAAGGAAAGGAAAGCAAAGGGAAAGGAAAGAAAGAAGGAAAGGAAAGGAGAAAGGAAAGGAAGAAGGTAAGGAAGAAGGAAAGGAAAGGAGAAAGTCGTGAGTGTTTTGCAGAATCTTTATGTATAAATATGAGATGCGGGGTGTACAAACCAATATTATCATATCTTCTAGTGAACACTAAGCTATGTCCCCCTCCCCTCCTTGTCCCTCATCTCTCCTCTCAGCTCCTCAATCTGTGTAGTTTACCTGCTAATGGCAATTCCTACTTAGACAATGCATATCTGTCAGTGTTACTACGGTAACACATGGGGACCTGTCATGCTGTCAGGAACCTTAGTGTCATGTCATACCCCCCTCCACCCCCCCATGTTACAGCTTAACTCTGTCAGTGCTGGAAAGGGCCAGCCTGAGGGGTTGGGCTGTAGACATAACATGGTCTTTGGGGCTGGAGTGCAAAGTTTAGGGTACATGGCAGCCTGTGGTGCCGGCTCACACCTGTACATTTTTAGCAAGTTTCAGGTGCGACGCATTGAAAAAAGTCCTTCATGCTTCATTTTTGATGCGCAAACACACATTCTATAGAGTTCAGTGGTAACACACCTAAAGCACAGGTAAAATGCAATGCACCAAAAAACAGTGACAGAAGTGGACCGGCCTATAGTCAGTGAACATATCCAGGTGAGGGACCTGAGGCGCGTACCCCCGGTCAGTTCTGGCTGTAATGCTCCTCAGTAGACATGACATATAAATAAAGCCACCTCAGATTCAGGGCCTAATTGCTGCGTTCTTACGGTGCGTGTCGTTTCCCAGTTCAGAGCACTTCGGTAAAAAAAACAGGAGCTGACCGTGTGTCTATAAATATCTCATTGGCGGTAATGAGGAGATGGAGCTGAAGTGTGATCAAAAGGAGAAGGAGTGCTACTCGGGGTGTGATGAGAAAAGCGCTTAACCTACACGATGGGCGCTGTGACCACCGCACTGTTGTCATTTCATCAGGAGACTGATTAGTAGATGAACCTTTCCACTGATGGTCTTCATGCAAAGGTGATTACTTTAGGGTACACTCACGTCAGACATATTTTGGCACATAAATGCACCAGAATATTCCTTGTTTCAAGCACTACCCCCCCTCTCTAAAGTATTGCTGGTTCTAGCACTACCCTTCTTTACCTTGATCCCTGGACCAAGCGCCACCCCCTCTCTAGAGTATCCTTTGGGTCAGGCACCACTCTCTCTCTAAAGTGTCCTTTGGTTCAGCCACCACCCCTGGAGAGTTTCCTGGTTCAGGCACCACCCCCTCTGTACAGGGGGATAATGCCCATGGTTCTGGCATTATCCCTTTTCTTGCGTGCTCCCTGGTTCAGGCACCACCTTTCTGTAGAATGTTCCCTGGTTCAGGCACCACCTCTTCTCTAGAGTGCCTCCCAGTTCAGGCAGCACCCCCTTTCTGGAGTGCTCCTTGGTTCAGGCACCACCACCTCTGTAGACTGTTCCCTGGTTAAGACACCACCCCTTTGTAAACTGTTTCCTGGCTCAAGTGCTAACCCTTTGTAGAATGCTCTCTGCTTTAGGCACCACCCTTTCTCTAGCATGCTCCTTGGTCTGGGCATTGTATCCTCTGTAGAGTGTCCCTGGTGCAGGCACCATTCCCTTTGCAGAGTGCTCCCTAGTCCAAACGCCACCACTTCTGTAGAATTTTCCCTTGTCCAGGCACCACTCCTTCTCTAGAGTGTTCCCAGATGCAGGCACTACCCCATCTGTACAGTGTCACTTGGTTCAGGCACTTCCCCTTCTCTAGAGTGTTCGCTGATTCAAGCACTACCCCTCTAAAGAGTGTTTTCTGGTTCAGGCACCACCCCTTCTCTAGAGTGCTCCATGGGTCAGGACAGGCACCACCCACTTTGCACAATGTTCTCTGGTTCAGGCACTACCCCCACTGTAAAGTGCTCCCTGGTTCAGGCACAACCCCCTCTGTAGAGTGCTCCCTGGTTCAGGCACAACCCCCTCTGTAGAGTGCTCCCTGGTTCAGGCACAACCCCCTCTGTAGAGTGCTCCCTGGTTCAGGCACAACCCCCTCTGTAGAGTGCTCCCTGGTTCAGGCACAACCCCCTCTGTAGAGTGCTCCCTGGTTCAGGCACAACCCCCTCTGTAGAGTGCTCCCTGGTTCAGGCACAACCCCCTCTGTAGAGTGCTCCCTGGTTCAGGCACATCCCCCTCTGTAGAGTGCTCCCTGGTTCAGGCACAACCCCCTCTGTAGAGTGCTCCCTGGTTCAGGCACAACCCCATCTGTAGAGTGCTCCCTGGTTCAGGCACTATCTCCTCTGTAGAGTGCTCCCTGGTTCAGGCACAACCCCCTCTGTAGAGTGGTCCCTGGTTCAGACACTACCCCCTCTGTAGAGTGTTCACTGGTTCAGGCACAACCCCTTCTCTAGAGTGCTTCATGATTCAGGGTGGGCACCACCCATTTTGCACAATGTTTCCTGGTTCAGGCACGACCCCCTCTGTAGAGTGCTCCCTGGTTCAAGCACTACCTCATTCGTAGAGTGATCCCTGGTTCAGGCACTACCTCCTCTGTAGAGTGCTCCTTGGTTCAGACACTACCTCCTCTGTAGAGTGTTCCCTGGTTCAAACCCTGTTTCCTCTCTGGAGTGCTCCCTGGTTCAGGAACTACTCCCTCCATAGAGTGCCTCGTGAGAAGTCAAATCTGGCTCTACTGAATTGTATAAAAAGGTAAATTGACTACCCCGTGTGATCTCTCCACTGGAGCTCCAAGCTATGTGCCCATTAAAGATGTCACCACAATATATTCTGAGCAGGTGGGTGATTTACCCAAAACAGGAATAGTGTTGTTTGGGACTGACCCCAACATCTCTAAGCAATATCTTCAGTTGGCCCTTCAATATTACCATGCGTACAAAGAAAGTCCACTAGCATTCACCCAAAACTAAACTGTAAGTGTTGGTTGATCCAATTCTTTGGTGACGTGAGGAAAAATAACAGCAATGTGCTGTAACTCAGACTAATTATCATTGGCCTAGCTCTAAGCTGTGAAAGCTGAATTCTGTTTGGTTATTAAATGTTATAAGCCCTGTTGGTCTTTGAAACAAGGGCTGCACATGGAAAGGGTTCTTTTTGCCCAGAGCAACCAAATCTTTCCTTCCAGCTGAAAAAAAAATGACAGATGAGATCCTATTGGATATTATGAACAACACAGACAGTATCCTCTATAAATGTCTCCATACCAGGCTAGTCTAATGTCCTCAACCCCCCAGGGTCACATCTTACAAGTTATTGCTCATTATTTTATACCTCAATGAATCAGGACCATCTTAATCCCAACATCTTCATGTACCATAAAACCGTGACTTACCTCCTCTGTGGTGAGGGGCATGCAGATTCGGTATTCCTTCACCAGCATGCTGATGTATTGACCAGAATGGACCTCTTGGGGGAAGTCTGGAAGAGAACAGAAATACCAATGACAAAGTAATCAGATGGCTTATTTAAAATTAAAATAGACGTCACCAGATGGCATGTTGTCATTAAAGTGACACTAAACAATATCCTTCTTCTCCACAAATAATCCATACATATCCACTACCTAATGGCCCTGTAACTCGTTTTTCGTGAAATTGTTTCTTACTGTGTTTTTCTTCTCGTAATGTCCTCTGTGGCTACATTCCTACACACAGTGTGACCATGGAGAACAAACGTATACACCCTCTAACAGGGAATCAGATTATACTGTTAAAAAAGTGATTTGGAGGAGGCTGAGAGCAATAAAAGAGATTTTTTTTAGTTAGGAATACATTCTTGAATAATTTTCTTTTTCTAGACCAGAGTCTAGAGTGACTTTACACGTAGCAATTTTCAGGCAGCAACAATCCTTTTAACCAGCTATCGATTGCTAATAGGATTAAAAGTAATTAAAAGAATGAGAACAGGTACTATTAATGAATTTGATTTGATCAAACGTCCAACAATTCTATGGATTGTAGCAGATTTAATCCATTGAAAATGAATCTGCAATCTAAAAGCACTTGGGCTTTCCATTGGCTTTGTTTGGAGGTTTCTTCAGCTTGATTCCCCATCAGTCCATTGAAGACAGTGGATTATCCATTTGATTCTCTTATGATTTAAATAGAAAGTTAAACTGAGATTCCATGTTTACAGGGGAGGATTGGGCTAAGGAGTAGAGGGCCCCATGGCCAGCACGGATTAGACATGTTGACATCAATCAGAGCAGTCAATGACTCTTGGTGGGCATTATATTGCTATTGGTCCAAGTTCATGTTGGGCTGGTGTCCCTGAACGGAGATACCTCTCCATTTTTACATCAATCAGAGCAGTCAATGACTCTTGGTGGGCATTATATTGCTATTAGTCCAAGTTTATGTTGGGCTGGTGGCCCTGAATGGAGATACCTCTCCATTTTTACATCAATCAGAGCAGTCAATGACTCTTGGTGGGCTTTCTTTCAGCGCTGAGACATCATGTGACTGAATGCCAAGAGCTGCAAAGGAAGTAGATGCTTGTGAATGTGAAGGTACATCTAAAAAGGTACATCTAAAAAAAACAAGTTCTTTAGGAATACCCACCTTCAATATGCCCACCTGTCACTACAGCACTAGGACGCAATTTGCATGGGACACTTCTTAGCCCAAAAACATCTTTTCCTACTGTAAAAGGGACACATGGTTGTATTTGACTCCCAGGTCAAATGTTCAGAGTAACTGAAAGGTCCACTTACCCATATAATTAGGGCTTGTGTGGATGGACTTTCAGATTGTATCGATGGCATCAGATTGCGATGCTTCGGACAGCATTCAGAATTCATTGGCAGGTACATCTGACCTGTAGTTGTCCTCTTTTTGACCTGTACTTGACCAGCTTTAAGCAGGTTTTACATTCCCTCAGACTTCTATGGGTATGTAAAACCCACTTGTAGCTGACAAAACCTTTTAAAAGCATAAGGGGGCTTCCTCTACTGTCAAGAAGGGATCAGCTGTGCCCTACAGAAGAAAACATTTTACATGTATGTACCATCTGACACTTTATGGCACTTACTGTAAAATACAGGACGTAGGTAATTAAGGGAAAATGGACCCCATAGGCTCTCAAGGACACTCCTGCAGGTTATCAAAACTGTTCCTATCCCTGGTCTGTCCATCAGGGATTCTGATGCCCAACAACCAGCCAGGTAGACGACAGTTTCATCAATGATATATCAGACACCCGAGACTCAGTGTACCATGCATGTGCTTGCTATGCTGTTGAGCTGGTTGACAACCAAAGTATGAGATCCACCAACTCCAACACTACCAAATCAAGCAATGTTGCCCAACCAGTTAGATCCTCCTTGTAAACATACAGCCCATTGTACCATTGTCAATAAAAGGCAGGTTAATCAAAGCTAAAGCTGACCATGAACATTACAGTCTGATTGTACAATCCCCTTTAGATCTGCCAATAACCATGTAGACCAAAGATTGGCAATCAGAACAGCAATAGAGGGGAAATCTTTCAACGAGGACATTTGCACCAGTGATAGCTGTCTAAGCGGACATTTTCTTTACCTTGGGGAGATTTCTTTTCAGTTCCTGTATTGTTCCCGAAACAGGAAGTGAATGAAAATCTCTTGAATAGGAAAAAGATGGTAATGAAAGATTTGGCAGAAGTTTTAACCCTTTCTCAATGTATCCAAAATTTTTAAAAGTTCAGATATAATCTTAAGGTTGTCTCCATTCAAGAAAGACTGATATTTACGTAGGAGCTTTCTTGGCCACATTCTATATAGTGAATGTGACTGAAGAATCTCTGAAAAGACAGGTCAACTTTAAGAAAATGTTTTATTAGAAATGAACACACAAACATCTGTTAAAAAGAAAAAAAACATGAGTGCACGAATGCTCGTTGCTATACCGACTGGTATCTAGAAATATCCCCTACACCGCATCCCTGACAACCTCTAGACAAGATGCATCTATTTATGAGACAGACAAAAATAACATATTTCTTATTCCCCAGATTCTGTAGTAGGTCACGAAATGCTTTAAAGGGATAGTACACTCCTTTTGCAGAAATATACGGCTGGGTTCTCAAGGACTTTCTGATTCAAGTTCGATCTGTCAGATGCCTGTAGTCCTAGGTCTTCATCTAGGGCGGGGGTCTCCAAACGTATAAGAAAGACACATCATGTATTTTACAAATATTTGGGTGCTGAAAAAAATCCTTTACCCATCAGGGTCTCCATCAGAGTCCTCTATACATCTAAGTTCTCCCTTACATCAGGGTCCTCATTTGAGTCTTCAGTTACATCAGGGTCCCCATCAAAGTCCCTCCATACATCAGGGTCCTCATCTGATTTTTGCCTTATCAGTGTCCCCACCTGAATTCCACCTTACATCATGGTCCCCATCAGAGTCCCCCCCTATATCAGGGTCCTCATCTGAGCCCCCCTTACATTTGGGTCTTCCTCTGAGTCCCACCTTACATCAGTGTCCCCACCTGAGTTCCACCTTACATCAGGGTCCCCATCAGAGTTCCCTCTTACATCAAGGTCCTCATCTGAGCCCCCCTTACATTAGGGTCCTCCTCTGAGTCCCCCTTCCATCAGGGTCCCCGTTAAAGTCTCCCCTTACATCAGAGAACTCATCTAAGTTCCCCCTTATATCAGGATCCTCATTTGAGTCCCTCCTTTTATCAGGGTCCTTATCTGAGTCCCTATTTATATCAGGGTCTTCATCACAGTCCCCCCTGACATCAGGGTCCTCTTCTGAGCCCTCCTTACATCAGGTTCCTCATCTGAGTCCCCCTTATATCAGGTTCCTCATCTGAGTCCCTCTTTATATCAGGGTCTTCATCACAGTCCCCCCTGACATCAGGGTCCTCTTCTGAGCCCTCCTTACATCAGGTTCCTCATCTGAGTCCCCCCTTATATCAGGTTCCTCATCTGAGTCCCCCCTTACATCAGGGTCCCCATTAGAGTCCCCCCTTACATCAGGGTCCCCATTAGAGTCTCCCCTTACATCAGGGTCCCCATTAGAGTCCCCCATTATATCAGGGTCCCCATTAGAGTCCCCCCTTACATCAGGGTCCTCATCTGAGTTCCCCTTTACATCAGGAGAGATCCCCCTTACATCAGAGTCTTCTCAGAGTTCCCCTGCATCAGGGTCCCCTTATCAGAGTCCCCTTTTACATATGGGAGGGGATAGTGAAAATTATAGGCAGCCTTTGTTGACCTTAATTCTCATTCTGTGCACATTAAGGATACACCAGTGACCCCAGCAGGGGGTCGGAAAAAACCCTTGTAGCAGGACGAATTTAGCCCACGGGCCATAGTTTGGAGAATCCTGATCTATTGTTACCGAAGCTTCTTCAGCACAATTACAATTATTTTGAATCTAGTTTTGCATTTGCTATTGCCATTGCTTCGGATGCTTGCATAGATTCTGGATTTTCCAGGACAGCCCTGCATTCATGTGCTTGTCCTAATGATGCTGTGTCCAGGGCTATGTCCTGGGATCACAGCATCACCTTTATTTGAGTTATTGAACATGTCAATTGCATCCACAAATGTGCAGTTCCCTCATTTGGTCTGAGTGTGAACACCAAGTAAGGGGGTATGCCAAGTGTGGGCATTGTCCCAGGGACTGGAACTATTATGTTGGTAAGTATGGGCACACAGGTCCCCTTTACAAAGGTCACACCATTGGCTGTGCATGCCGTCACTGCAAGGCTTTCTGAGATATGAGCGTGGAATGGTCATGCACGCAATAAAGCTTTTTCAGAATTGCCTAACTGCTCAATCGAGATGCAAATCAGTCTCCACCGAGGCAGCTCATCTTCAAAGAGAAGGCTTGTGGGTAGCAGAAAATAGTTTATCTTTTATTTTATGACTCACGAGGACAGCTGGGGAAAAATGCTGAAAATACCGAATCAATACTAAAAAAGTGTTTACCAGGGGCTCCTCTAAATATATTTATTATTATAGTCATTTATCAGTATTGGATGGCCAGAGAGCGCAATATGCAGCGTTTGATTTCCTGCAGCCAGGAGAGGCGCTATTTCATTTCTTTATTTATTAACATGGAGAATTATCGCTGTCAGTTCCACTCATTTGATGGGTTGGCCAGGCAAAATGAAAGCTCCTGGAAAAAGTATATATGAATATCAAAACTTTCTAAACAAATGGCTGGTTTACTGGCCTTCACACATTAGGAAGGCCGGAGTGGTCAGTGGAAGTATAAAATGTCCCAGCGTCAGTAGGAGTAAAAGAAGACGACATAGTGTTTGTAGTCAGTGGAAGGAGGGATAGTGATCAGTCGTTGGTATTGGTGGGGGGAATAGTGCCCCATCACTGGTATCAGTGGAAGGAATAGTGCCCCATCACTGGTATCAGTGGGAGGAATAGTGCCC